AGGTAAAAAATAGTTACAGGAGAGAAATGCATGCAGATCGAAAAGATAAATCCATCATCATTTTACTTTTTCACAATGGGCCATGGATAAATGAACAATGTGCAATTTGCATTCCACATGTCCATCGATATGAAGAACATATATAATTCCAAATAAATTTTCCATTTCACCGGTGCTCAAGAATGGTTAATATATGATGATTATATTTACATATATATATATATATATATATATATATATATATATATATATATATATATATATATATATATATATATATATATATATATATATATATATATATATAGATAGATAGCTCTACCATGAGAAATAAGTTCTACCATGAGAAATAATTTTAGATGGTACTAATTGACTTTTCACCTATCTTTTAATCAGAGTGCCAATTAGTTTCCATGTGCTTTTTTAAGTTACTCTTGTTTATCTCAAATTGGTACTTGTAGTAGGAAGGTTTGTAGTGCCATTTGAGCCTATTCAGGGTGTTTGAATATTTTTTGTAGTTATTTTTTATCAGAATCATTAGAGAGATAGTGGGTTCGATACATATTTTGTTTTGCTTTAATTGACTTAAGAAGCCCGCCTGTTATCCAGGGTTTATGTAGTAGTCTACAGGCCTTAAAATATAGGCGGTCACGGACATTGTCCGACCCAGTCGTGAAATTGTCCGAGTAGAGAGGAAGCCACCGGACATTCTGTCCGACATTAAGTGAAACTGAGGTTTACTGTTTGTCCAACCCGAGTGTATTGGTGTCCGACCGAACTGTAGCCTTGTCCAACGTAAATCAATCCGCAGTAAGGCTGGTATGGTAAATGGAAAATCAGAGGACAATTGAGTATTGTATAAAAAGTAAACTGCATGGAAATGTTGTTTTAACGTAGGCTGATCGAGCGCGGGGCGGCGACGAGCTAGCGAAATGGTGAAGTGGAAAACGGGCTTAAGTTGTCGAAGTCTTACTGCTGTTCTTGCAAGCAACTTAATTTTGGAAATAAGTATGAATGACACAAATTATTTAATATCTTCACAACATTTACCGTTTAGAATTTATACATTGTGCTGATATTCATTTGTCTCATTCAGACTTATTTCCGACCCAAACTGAACTAAAGGTCATCGGACATATGTCCGACCCAAACTCAACGTCATCGGACATTTTGTCAGACGGCCCTATAAAGATATTTTAAGGCCTGAGTCCATGTTTACTTCTGGACAGTTGCTTTATAGGAGCATGTTTATTTGTTATTGTTTTAATTTCCTTCACAAAGTGATCAGCTTTGGCATGTATATCATCGTTCATATCTATAATACGGTACAATCCCAGTTGATTGAATTAACCTCATTTACATATTTATTTTGGTCAAAATGCGAATAGTCTCTGCCGTATCTTTTATTTTTTTATTTTTTAACCTGCGTATTAGCAATACAGAAAATTGGACGATGATCTGATATGTCCATGGTGACAATGCCTGCATGAAGTAATTATTTCAGTAGGACTGTTACTGTACACATGGTCAATTAGAGTAGCAGTGTGACTCTAGTAATTCTGGTGGGTTTTGTGATAAATGGGAAGAGATTGCTGCTGTATAACATATCAAGGTAATCCTCAGTTTTGGAATGCGAATTTACTTTCAAGAAGTCTATGTTTATATCACCTAGTATAAATATTTGGTTTTTAGAGTTATTAAGATGTTGTATAAGTTTATGTAGTTCAATGGTATAGTTATCTAGGTTGGCCGAGGGGTGCCTGTATATGCATCCAACGATTATAGATGGTTTGTTATGTTCTTGAGCAATTTCAGTCCAGCAGGATTCCGCTTTATCGATATTCACTTTTAGGTCAGTTCTATGAAATGCATGCACCCGCTTGGATACATTCTTAGCAGCACCCCCAGTCATTGTTTCAGAGTCATTATGATATAAATTAGAGTTAGGCAAATTCATATTATCTATTGTCTTATTACTTAATCTCGATTCAGTGATAGCTATAATTTCAGGGGTGTTATCCATAGAATATATAATATCATGCAATAAATCATAATTCTTAGGAAGCCTTCTGATGTTACAATGAAATAGAAGTAGTGATTTTTTACTATAGTTGCTTAGAAGCACATTATTCATGCTGTTAACAGAATAATAATCAGAATGGGGAGTACAAAACATGTAATCAGAATCTGCCTCATCAGATTTATCTGGGTTGGCTAGTATACATTAAAAAGATCAGTATCTGAATTAGTAATGTTATAGATGTTATAAATGCTCCCAGATCCCATTAGGAATCTGAATTCACGATCGTCTAAGCCATCGAATGGGGGTTTCCAGTCTTCAGCCATGATATAATAGGCCTATAGGATTTACAATTAATACAATTTGTATTGTTATTGAGAATTATTGCTAGATTTATGAGAACGAATTTGATTCAAGGAAGCCATCAAATTCCTCATGAGTTTGAAATGTTAGTACAGCCGAGCCATCTGACTCACGTACATAAATCTTACCGCTGTTTGTCCAGAGATATTTATAGTGTTTGCTTTTCTTGAAATTGTTAATTCTGCCAAGTAATCCATTCCTGTACCGAGTTAATGATCCATTGATGTAGATCGATGAAGTAGAGTGGATAGACTTCCCCATCTCGCTTCTAATGGACGGGAGTTCTTGTGCTTTCTTGCCAGCAGTGCACTCCATGTGTAAACTTGATTAAAATTCGGTCCTTTTTCCGCTTAGAATCAGGTAATCGATGGACCACAGAGATGTCGTTGTCTTCGATATTTGCGCCCATCATTTCCCCGACTTCTTGAACGAGTGTTGTTGGACGGTCTACTGGCAGGATTGGGAGACCGGAAATCTCCAAGCAGTCTCTTCTCGAATACTGCTGCATTGCATCAATATCTGCCTGAATGTCATATATAGAATTGCTTTGCTAGTTCAGAATTGTTTCATGATTTTCATTCCTCTTAATTATATCGTCAATTTGTTTTGTTTGTTGACTGTATTGATGTTATAATGGAGTCATATTTGTCACTGAGCATCTGTTGTGAGGTTTCGATGCAGTCGAGTCTATTCACCATTTGGTTTATTGATAGGTTGACACTATGAATATCAGCCTTAATTCCAGCTCTTACTTCCTTTTTTATATTAGGAAGGAACTCATCACTCCATATATTCCTTAAAGATCCGATAGTTAAGGCTTTAGTTAAAGTTTTAGCGAAAAATAAACGGCGGAGCTTAACAAGACATGTCACGTCACCATGACATCTCTAGGCAGTTCGTTGTCGGTCACCGATAAAGTAATTGTATAATACTTCACAATGGTGCATACACGAATTGTGAGTTGCGGCATTGTGAAAGTTTAAAATTATGTATGTCTTCAACGAAGCCCCAGGAAAATTTCGTTACTAGTTATAGCTTACTCGCCGCTTTGCTTTACAGGCTTTAGCCTGAACGATGGTTTACTAATATCATACTATTGTTTTTGCCACAGCCTCACTTTGCCTCTACATATGAAATATTTTAAGATTTAAGCAAGGCATGGTGGTTAAAACAAGAGTATGTATGGCGTATATGGAAGTATGGAAATGTGGTCTCGACATGTCGGTGACAACTGTTTTGAAAAATTACCTATTTAGTGTCTTTTCATATTGGCGTGGATTTATTCAAACCAAAAATTAATATGTTTGCAAAATATTCCTAATTTATCAACTATGTGGAAATGTAGTCTCGACATATCGATGACAACTGCTTTGAAAAATGACCTATTTAGTGTCTTTTCATATTGAGGTGGAGTTTTCCACACCAACAATTAATATGTTTGCAAAATATTCCTAATGTTTTCTATTTCTTAAACAGGGAACTTAAACATTAAGTTAAACCTAGTCCAAATACATTTTTAAACTATTCAAATAATGAAAGTTATTGTTTGTTTTTAAGCGTTTATTAGCGAGTAGGAAACTCCACATTGCCGTCATCTATTCAAATGGGGGTAACCGCTGGAATATTCTTGACTTTAATTTACTAAACGAGGTGCTCTATCTAGTGTATATACGATATCTATGGATGCAGGTGAACTAGTGAGACAATAAGGGAAAGTACATTTATTACACCGAGGGAGGGGGATGAAGATGTCTTGAAAAAAGCTCATATTTTTACAGGGCCCCTGTTGAGGTTATCGGTAAATTCCGATGCCCCCTCCAAGTTTTTAAAATTTTCAATGCCCCCCCTCCCCCTGTAGAATTCGGAATCGAAGGAGTACAATCCGGAATTCTCTCTTATCATAGATACAATTTGCAGTTCCTCAAGATGTCCGATATACTCAAGCATGTGCTTCTCCTCAATAAAACTACCGATCTGCTGCTTCTTTCACCTCACTAGCGCCAGATGAAAAGGCACCGTCTTTAAAACATTTTAAATTGGCTCTAAGGGTGAAATTATCAACAGGTTGTTGTTGTCCATCATTCAACGTATTCGGAGTCTTGAACACGTTCATGTAGTGGCCAGGATTTCCTGGATCAGGGTAATGTGCTGGATCCTTACAGTATGTTCCCCCATAGTTAATATAATGAGAGGGTTTGGAAGGCCGGGTCACGTGACAAAATAACTTATTGTTCTCGGTCACGTGGAACTTATAGTGCATGCTTCGAGGTGTTTACATATACGATAGTATAATAGTTTAAGCCAAACAGAGCCTAAAAACATTAAATTTCATTGAATTTTCCGCGATGCCGGGAGCGAATTGCTCCATATCGGCTGTGGTACATGTCGAAATAGTGCTGGAGTTGGAATTTTTCGGATCCCTTCAGGAAAAGACGCATTATCAACGAAAACTCGTGAAGCGTGGAGCAACATAATTACAAAGGACCGCGTAATGGATGAAAATTTGCGAAGGCAAATCAAAAATGGGACGTTTTATGTTTGCGAGAAGCACTTCAAGAAAGAGGAATTCTTAAGACTTTATAGTTTAATAATAAGACTTTACAGTGTAAGTCTCAGGCTTTTTACACTTTGTTTATGCTGTCCCCGGAGCCCATCGTTGTGTGGTACGAGATTGGCTGATTTTATTGTTAATTTTCTTCTGATAAATAGGAATTTGCCAATTAGTTAACTTAAGAATGACATGAGTGTTCTTACTGTGTATGTATCTATTTATTTTCTGAAAATTTGTCATTTATCAAAAGTAGGTGGAGCAAAAATTGCTGCAATAGTGTTATTAATTCCACAGCCAAGCTAGAAGTGCAATGTAATTTGTATTATGCTCAAATCATACACTACACAATGTATGTTTAATTAAGCCACAATGCTCCTACTTTATCGTTTTAACATTTGTCTGATGCCATATGATTTTAACTCTTTAAGCTGCAATGCTTAATATGCACTGCCCTTGATGTGTAAAATTGTCTGATGATAGACACTGACAGAGTAAAAGAATAAAAGAGCACATTGAGATATGTTAGCCTATTATCTCCAATTAGCTTATTTAAACTGCATGACTAAATTTGGCTGAACATTACATAATTGAGAGAAAGTAGTTTAAGCTGTGTGTATATATTTATATATTGTTGTTATTACTATGTGTTGATGAAAAGATTACACATAAAAATATGAGGATAATTCATTGATACAGTATCATATTTACATTTAATATCATTGATATAACGTTATTGTATTATGTACCTGACTATTTCTTTTCTTCACTGGCAATCTTCAAGCAGAGACGGATTTTCATATTTTCGTTCGGGGTGTGTGGATAAATATCTGGGGGGTGGGGGGGGTGCTGTTTGCTTTGAAAGGCCAGGGCCTGGTGGCAACACCCGGAAAGGCCAAGGAAAAAGTTTAACAAAATTTGTTTTCTAGGCCTGCATGGTGAGATCTGAGACCATAATATTGGTAATTTTACAAATTTAGTAAGAGTAATCAAATATGAAACTATCAAATCAAAATATATATAATTTGCGGGAGTGCCAAGACTTTTGGGGGCGGTGCCAAATGCCTCTGGAGGGTGCAAATCATTTCTGGGGGGGGGGGGTTCCCACCCCCGGAAAATCTGTGCCTGTCTTCAAGTCTTTTCATAAAGCTTTCTTTTTCTGTGTACCCTGACTTATATCTTATATTTATTTACAATATCTTACAGTTACATATAATTTGACTGAACATTCTCTAAACATAAAGATTGACATTCCATGGAAGTTTCTACATCACAGTTTTGAATAATGTTGCACCACAAGTTTGTCACAAGAGGAGAAGTTAGGACTTCATTCACAATTGTGTCTACTGGTAGACAGTGACCTTGTCTTTATTTGATGTGTGTTTTAAATATTAACTCTGACACCTTGCAATGCTTACAATCCATGAGTGTGGTGACCAATCCATGAGTGTGGTCCACCCCTCAACAAGGATGAAATGTATTTATTGGCCTCTGTGTCCTGTCGCATTGATGACATCGAGGCTTGGACTTCTTTGTTCCAGGAAGAATTGCTCCTATAACAGTTCTTGCTTTTCTGGTATAAAGATCTTATCACATAGCCAGTCAAATATGATAAAGGTCCAAGCTCCTGAGGTGACAAAGACAATTCTTCCTAAAATTCAAACAAGAGTCTATGATTAATTATTCTAATTACATTTGTTTGGCTCTGAGAGTGAGACTGCCCTTTGGTGGCACAGAAATATTATCTTAAATGCTTCCCTTGACAGGTAAAATCGCCTGGCGTTAAACAGAGTAAATACTAAAGTAGGGCATACGTTATACAGTTTTTCGTCAACCAACTGAACCAAGTGTGGACCGATATCACGTATTCATTCGGCAACTTTTTCTACTAATATCACTGTTTGAAATGTAGAAGATCCCTCACCGAATTCTACAACATGTTTCATACTACGTCGCGGTGTCTTGTCAGGCCACCTTTGGATTTGCAAACTTTC